TTCTTTGGTTAGTTAAGTACTTTCAATAAAACCAACTGTGATTTGAGGTGAAGAATCCTTGCAGCAATTAGGATTCATTTACTACTGGAGCGTTATATTAATTACACATTTGTAACCACATGGATAGGCACAAAACCCATCGCACGTGTCTGTATTTAGAGATTCGTAGACAGAAGATTTAACGTAAACATAGAAATGTTAAACTACTCATCTGTAGCCTGCAAAGAAGATAACAAGAAGGATTCTGTTCTCTGTGTGATTTGTGAACAATGCTAAGTAAATATTCATCATTAGTATATAATAACTGTTGCTTTTGGCAGTTCACTTTTCATTTAATTTGATAATGTGTCCAGTAAATGAAGTGGTACAGGCTGCAGTGTTTTACCATCACAATTGCATATTTTCAATCATTGTTAAATGAAGGCAGCTCAAGGCAAAGCTTTAACCCCCACTAGTTCTGTATGTGATGTAAAAAGAGACGGTGCTATCAATCTTTATTGTCTGTCTCGGTTACTGTAATTGCATTCAATAGTCCACTGATTCTGTTGTTTGTGCTAATGTCAGGAGCAGTGAAGAGCCAGATGCTCAGACTAGATCATATGCATCCAGTGGCCACTTTGATAAGTTGGCAGCAAGTCTCTGGGTTCGATGATGAATTGTTAGCGCTATAGATTATGAGCAGCTGAATGCTGGGAGTGTATATAGAGAAACTTCTTACCTTGTTTTAAATCTGGCATTGTGATGCTAGCTAAAGGGCATGTCATGTATTATTCAAATGCGTCTTGTGCTGGAAATATGCCAATGAGTCACTGCATCCCCCGAACAGTAAAACAACAACAAGAAAAAAAAAAAAGTATAAAAAGCCTTGGAGTGATTTGAACATGACGTTAATAGTCCTAAAACACTAAAAAAAAGTATTTCAAAATAACCTCTAATAGTTATGATTACCCGATTCAACAAGAGAGCTTGTGAGTTATGGTATTCCATCCTTGAATCTACCTTAAAATGTGACTTTTTCTGACAGTTTTTTTTTTTTTTTCTCTTTAATTTGAACAAGTAGATGGAATGTTTTATGGAGAAACAAACATTAATGCTTTAGTGAAGTATGAGCAGTAATACACCTCTGTGAAAAAAGTGCAAATACGGGGACTATAGCATAAGTTATTTGCTTCCTACATGTTTCTTGCAGCTCTACTGTATGGCCCACACCAGTGTTCTTGGAGAATTAACTTTTAAGCTGTTTGATGAGTGTCATCCCTTGGACAGGTAGCTGCTGGAGGGCATCCAAAAAGTCTTGAGAGCCTCTTCTTCATCTAGTTTACATAACTCAGCCAGAAAATGACCTTAGGTTTTTGTCAGGATAATCTTGAATGGCATGATCCCAATTCTGTGTGTGTGTTTGGTTGGGTTGCTAGCTTGGTTACCAGTGTGCTCCATGATAGCTCATCACAGAATCATAGAATCACAAGGTTGGAAAAGACCTACAAGATCATCCAGTCCAACCATCTCCTTGTCACCAATAGTTCTCACTAAACCATGTCCCTTATCACAATGTCTAAACATTCCTTGAAGACCTCCAGGCTTGGTGACTCTACCACCTCCCTGGCCAACAGAAGTCACCTGTCTGCTTACTCTGGTAACCATTTTGGTTTCTCTATTACTATGTCCTTTCAAAGTTACTTTTACAACTGTATTTAAGGGATGTAATTTGTATTATTATTGCTTTTGGTAAGGATTTTCTTTGTTGTTGTTGTTGTTGTTGTTTTAAGTCATAATATATACATTTAGAAAAACCTAGCTTTAGAACTTTGCAATAGATTCCAACAGATATACAACTGAGTTTTAGAAGATATTTATATGAAATGTAAACCTGAAGTGTTATTGGTATGGGAGTAATTTATTTTTTTTTCTTAAGATTCTGAAGGTGGGTCTCTAATTTAGGGAGCTGCTCATATATTTACCCACAAATAAAAAGTGCCCTTAATTTATCAGAAACTGTGTTTGCATCATCTATCAGTTTCTTTGGGAACTGCGAGAACTTACTGTCTTGAAGTTCGTGGAGTTTTCTAATTTTATTTTTTTTGTCTTTCAGGCCGCAATATTCAGTCTATGAAAGGAATTCAGTAGCTTAAGTAATAGCCTGTGAGTTTCTCGATAAGTTTTTGGTTTCTTAGTAAGAGGTAATAACCACCTTGAGCACAGAAATGTCAGTGAATAAAATTCCAAACAGAACTTTTTCCTCGCAGTGGTGGAAAGCAGAATTAGTCACTCGCTCTGCAGTGCAAGAGGTGGGGACTTCCAAAGCCACTATTCACAGCTGCCAGAATAATAACAGAATCATGGAATGGCCTGGGTTGAAAAGGACCTCAGAGATAATGTAGTTTCAACTTCCCTGTCATGGGCAGGATTGCCAACCACCAGACCAGGCCGCCCAGAGCCACATCCAGCCTGGACTCAAATGCCTCGTTGATTCCTAGAAACGACATCTTGAACAAAAGCCTTCAACAAGTGTCTAATGAAAAATGTCATACACAGTAATGTCTGAAGGACAGAATAATTCCTAGGCACATATTGTATACCTGCTGGCTTGTTATCCTGTGCCTGGTGTCCCCTTCTAGTATAGTATTCACTGTCTTCTCCTCTTAGACTTCAGAAGAGTAATTCACGCTCAGCTTTAAGAGACTGACTGTGATCCTGTGCTTAGGAGATGTTTTTTTGGGAAACTTCTGGTCTGGAGACTTTCCTTGAACTGGAACTTGCGGCTGTGTCTCCTTGTAGGTAAGCCAGTCCTGTCTTCATCACTTCTCATGGCTACTGCAGGCAGCTTGTTTGGCTGTTGCACGTCTTATCATGGTGCCTCAGCCTTCCCTTGCAAAGTGGGGAATGTAGCTCAGGACATAGCCACATGCTAAATTGGTTTCAGTAGCCAAGTCTGCTGAAGTCTTTCTTCAGTTCTCTTCTGTCTGTCATCTGGCTGTAACTTGGTTATTGTGCCTGCTGACTTTTTGGGATGCTACATCCAACCACATGCCCGCTGGTGTTTCCCAGGCTTGCTGGGTATCACATTAGCTTGGGTCAGAAAGCTGATTTCAGCTACAGCCCAAGTCTAGCTGGGGCAGTGTGCAGGAGCTGGCTTCCTGTCCTGCCTACACAACAGGATAAAGAGGGAAATAAAGATTTTCTGTCCTCCCACCTGTCTGGGAAAGCTGCCCTTGGGTGAGAGAAACAAAGCACTGCAGACCACGTGTACGCTGTACATGAATGGGCGTGCAGGTATTTTCTCATATGTTCTTTCTATTTTATGAAATGGAACTGTGTAGTGTTTGGAAGTGTAGGGTGAACGTGCTGCTGCTTAACGCTGCTGTTTTTGCAATCTGATATGCATATAGAGTTGTTATTTAAGGGAGTTCAGGAAACGAAAATGAGTTTGTTACACTCATGATATCTACAGTTGCTTTTATTTTTTCCTTTGCATTTAGTTCAAATTAATCAATTAAAGTGCACAGATGTTCAATTAAAGCTTAAAAAAAATCCATGGCTACAGCTGTTTTGAAGCCACATTGTTGAAATTTAACATATCTAATAATGCTTCTCTCTCTGAAATTCAATTAATGACTCTCTGCTAAATTATTTTGCATTGATAAATTAAAAGAAATGAGAAGTAAATTATAAGGAGATGTAGGCTGTCTGCTCCATTCATTAGTTAGAATAACAGAGTAGCCCGTAAGATATCAAAATAGAGGATCTGCTTTTCATTTTCTTATGTTGATGTGCGGAAAAACTGCTTCCTAGCCAAAATATATTGGTTTAGCTGGAAATTATTGATATTTCTCCTGCAATTCAAGGACATGAAATAGCTACCACAGAAAAGTTATGCGCTAATACAAACCATACTGAAAACTTGAATACCTCCAATGCTGTACAAGGAATGATAGAGGTAACATGTCACAGTAGCTGTTAATAGCATCAGGGATTTTAATCATGATGGTTATGTTCTAATATTATTTGTAAAGTAACAGAGCTTAAGATAAGCTGGAGGAGAGGCAATGATGACAGCTCCAGCAGACCAAGGTTTTCCTGTGGTGGTGGCTGTGCTTCTCAGGAAGCTCAAATGCACAACAGACAGGATAAGTTAGCACAAAAGGATATTTTCTGCTGCGTTTGAAGAAAGCATTTGTTTTGTGGGACACTCACCAGTTTCTACGCAGACTTTACCACACCACATTAATTTATGTAGTGCAAAAAGAAAAGTACAGTGAAGGTGGAACTAGTGAAGGTGGGGCCTCTTTGCGCCTCCATCTGTTGGGGTTAACCAACCCGTGTCTCCTTGGGCTCCAGACATACAGAGAATTTCTTAATGCACACAGTGTGAGCCTACATTCTTCAATTTAAGATTAAATATTCGATTTAATACATGTAACTACGGTCAAGCACTGAGATATATACAGCAAGGCCGTGTTATTTATATTTTCTTGGAGCTGTTGCATATTTGGGTTGGATGCTTTAAAGGCTGTTTTTGTTTGGAGGCAAACATGGGGGATCTGAGAATGTGCAGAGGTAGTCAGCATATGCTCAGTGCTCTCCACCCCATGCCCACTACTGTTTTTCTACCTGTGGCCTGGCAACCCCTAGCCCTGTACTGCTGGTGCTCAGGATGCAGAGGAGAGGTCGTCAGCTCCATTCTAGAAGCATTATTGGATTTGGCAGATGGAATCTTATGGCTCTCACCAGATCTTACAAAATGCCGTGCATGGCCCTAAGGGAATGCCTTGCAGCTTGAAAACAGGACTTCGTATACAAATACACAGTAACACCTCAGTATGAATAACTGACAATAACAAGCCAAACTGCAAACAAAATAGAAACTGCAGCAGGTTACTTTGGGGCCATTGTTTTTATTCTTGCCATTCAATTGAGCCTAGTAATTTTTAAAGACAAATTAACTGGAGGAATACCCTTAAAAAAGATTATGTAGGTTTTACACCACTTTGCCATTGTTTTCCACTTGTGGCTGGGATAAGCATCCGGTACTTGTGCATGTGAGTGGCTCCCTTTTGTTTTCAGTTGTCAGATGATGTTAGAAGTGGTGGTCAGACCTAAAGAGATGCGGCTTCACCGAGCATTTTTGAAGTGATTTTCTCTGTGGATGATCTGGTGCAGGTCAGTTCAGTCAAGAAGGTATCTGCAGTAGCCTGAAGTTTGGAAAGCTCCCCCAGCACAGCAGGTAAAACATAGGAAGTGATTTTTGTCAGGGTTCAAAAATGAAACCGTGTGTGCAAAAAAAATGGTTTGTATGTTTTTGCAGCTGCAAATAATTGGGAGTAAATGTAATGGCTAGACCTGTTGCTTCATATGTGTTTGCAGATGATTACATTCTCATCTTGCTGCTTTAAATTGATAATTCAGCTCTTGAGTGAAGTGGTTCTTTGCTTATAGCCAGGATCTGTATGTTGCTCTGCACTGATCTCTCAGTTGGGACGTGGAAAATACTGTGAGCATGAATTGTTTTCACAAAGCTGCAGCCATCTATTTAGGTTATGTATGAGAAACAATGCGATATTTTTCTGCTTCTTGAAATCACAGGCCAATAAAAAATATTTATCCAATGGCTTGTTTTGAGAGTTGTGGGAGAACTGGGCTTAGAAATATTCTGATGCTCTTCTACAACATCATGATTCTCAGAATTACTGTGCTGCCTCTGAAAACACTGGTTGTAAAGGAGAAAATTCTTTGGAGTAGACTCGAAAGTGAATAGTTTCAAGTTAAGAAACCAAACCAGTTTTCTTGAAAACGTAAAGAAAGCCCTTTGTCTTAGAAATAGATGAGTATATGTGATAAAAATTTGGAGTGAAGCTGAGGAAAACTTCTGAAACATTTTATAAGTATTAAATTTGAATTTCTTCCTGAAAAAAAAAAAAAAAAAATGTTTTGGCAGAAAATTTCCCTTGGTTTTGCAGTTTCACTATGATTGAATGTGGGGCAGGGGTCTGGGGTTGTTCTGGAGTCAACAACAGCTTGAGATTGGCATTGGTAGCTCTAAGCTCATAGAATCAGAGAACCAGTTGTGTTGGAAGGGACCCTTAAAGGTCATTCACTCTAACTCCTCTGCAATGAACAGGAACACATATAGCTTGATTATGTTGCTCAGAGCCTGGTTCAGCCTGACCTTGTTTGTCTCCAGGGATGGAGCATCCACTGCCTCTCTTGGCAGCTTGTTCCAGTGCCTCATCACCCTTATCATCATCTCCCCTCCTTTAGTTTGAAACCATTTTCCCTTGTCCTGTCACAACAGACCCTGCTAAAGGGTCTGTCCCCTTTCTTCTTATAGCCCTCCTTCAGATACTGACAGGCTGCTATCAGGTCACTTTAGAGCTTAGAGTCTTCTCTTCACCAGGCTGCACAGCTCTCTTTGTCTGTTCTCACAGGAGAGGTGTTCCATCCCCGGGCTCACTTTTGTGGCTCTCCTTTGGACGCTCTCCAACAGGTCCACATCTCTCCTGTACTGAGCACTCCACATCTGGACACAGTGCTCCAAGTGAGGTCTCAAAGCACAGAGCAAAGGGGCAGGGTCTCCTCCCTTGCCCTGCTGACCATGCTGGTTTTGATGCAGCCCAGGATACGGTTGACTCTCTGGGCTGTCAGGGCACAGTGCTGCCTCATGTCCAGCTTGACATATCTAATGAAATGATAGTATTAAATATATGTATATATATATATATATATATATATATATATGTTTACTATTTTTCTCCCCTTTTTTTTCTGTTTTAGTGAGTTATAACTGGGGGGGAAAGGGAGGGAGGGAGGGAAGGGAGATGGATTTAAGTGCTGCCATGGGAGCTCAGCCCTCCAATTTCTCACTTGTGTTGTAATTTCCTCTTGTGTTAAGTTGAATTTTGTTGGTGGATGTTACACTCTTCTCCTTAGATGAATAACTTCACCTTTGGAAGTAGATAACTGTGCAAAATGGAAGTCATTATAGACTTGGAACTTCCCCCTTTTATTTGTCATATGGGTTATATTAGTACTGATCTGAGTAGAGTTAAGGAAAAAAAAAATCCTGCTAATGCATCTTGTGCATTTTTCGGCGTTTCCACAGTTGTTTGGGTTTATGCATCTGAACTATGGAGTGTAAAGTTCCTTGGCTTTAGAGAATTTCTGTGTTATATTTTAAGATATCTGCATGCTGAGAAGCTGGTCACACTACTCCAGTAATGTACTCTTCCAATAGGTGCTTTGGGAGAAAGCTCAGCCTTTTTTTACACCTGGTGTAAATTCTTAATTCCGGTTGCCACAGAATTTGAAAGGAGTATCATTATGTCCCTGTATGCCTTGTCAGCAGAACATTTAGCAGAGGGATTCAGGATGTGCACAGTATCTGTGAAAAGGTTTAAGAGCAGCAGCAGCAGCTCCTTTCGTGAGCATTTGTGGGGTGAAGTCTAACATCATTGCTGCGTATCTGCACAGATGCTAAATGGCTGTCATCAAAAAACCAGGAATGTTCAGGTGTAGAAAATTATTCAAATTATGTAAATATTCAGATGTTTTATATAAAAATAAGAAGATGCCACCTTGTGGTAAGAAAGATGTTTTAATGCAGCCAGAAAACCTTTGGGTGAACAGGGTGCACCTCTGAAAGCCGGCAATGATTTAAAATTTTATTTTGCTAAGAATGTGTTTCATCAACAAAATGACATTTTAGTTAGAGAATGACATGGCCTAACTTCCCCTTCCTATGCCTTACCCTCCCTTTTAGTGCACTCTTGTGCTCAGGGCATTGAGGCAGCAGCTGTGTGTTTGTGCTCTTGTGTGCGTGCAGAGCTCCTTGCCACCATCCCCGTGCTGGGCATGTGGCTCAGAGAGCCCAGCTCAGTGTTTCGGGACTTTACCTGACCTGTAGTCAAGGCCGGCTGATGGAAACGTTTCCTTTTCAAAAGCTTGATTCCACCTCTCGATTTATTAGGCTGGCATGTCTAACACCTGTTGCGTTTCTGTTAGCAATTAGATGATAAAAAGCTCGCTTGCCGTTGTACCTATTCCAGCTAAATGTGCGATCGCGTGGTGAATTGTGCATCCTAACATTCTCTTTCCCATTAGGATGCTGTTCTTCAATTGTTTGCTAAAAATTAAACAGGATATGTGGTGGTTTCTGTGTTTATTTATTTATTTATTTATTTTTAAAGAAAAAAAATGCATTCTGTTCTTCTGTGTTCTATTTTCAGTGATTTAAACGCTGCACTGTCTCAGTGCAAGCTCCTCTAAGCACTGTCATGCACGTGGTAACAAACTGCTCTTGTCGCATTGTTTGGGTTTCTGTTTCACACAAGGACAGTCAGAAAAAAATCTCTCAAAAAAAAGTAAGGGAAGATTCTTAAATCCTAAACTTTACATGCACACGGTTCCGAGCTGCAACAGATGTCTGCCCTGTACAGGAACTTCTATGCACGTTGATGCTACATTCATGTAATGATAATAATAAAGGGTTACCATTTTTTCCCCAGTTTGGAGAAGTATTGTGCTTGTAATTAAAACATACTTTCTCTTAACATAATTTATTTTCTCACATAATGTATTTTGACAGAATATTATAAATGTATATCTCTAAGCTTCATGACCCCATTATGAGGACAATTTTCTATAGTAATTCGTTTGTGTTCTGTTTCTTCTTGCTTCCTGATTACACAATCAGTATTGAATTGTGCATCCAACATCCTGATTAAAATGAGACAAAAGCCTTGTGTGCAGCCTAGCTCGCTTAAAATCTCTTCCTGTCCCCATAAAGACAATGGCAAAATTCTTATTTCTTGAGAATTTGATGGCAGTAAAATCCATTGCGAGTGGGAGAGTTACAGGTGGAGCTCTGGTTGGATTGTGTCAGCCACAAAGCTGGTTTGGAGAAGCACTGCAGGGAAACAGGAGAGCTGTTAAATCTGGGAGAATGGCTCTCACTTTTTAGGATTGGAATTAAATAGAGAAGTTCTGGTCAGTGACAGGGTTAAAGAATCCGATTTTTGTCTTTGTGTTTCTGTTTTCTTTGTTTCTCTCTTTTTTTTTTTTTTTGTATTTGTCTGTTGTTTGACTACTAATTAGAAAAGGAAAAAAAAACAATTCATTACTTTGAGAATATGAATGAAATGAGTGCTGAGTATATAAACATGCACTTTTGTGATGCTGAGTGGGACTTGGTAATATCCAACTAAATAAACTAAATCTTATGTTTTGTACTCAAAGATGATCTGAAAACTCAAGCAATCTCATCACAGCTTTGCCTGGATCTTGGATCCAGGATCAAGGAGCATGGGCTGCTCAGAAACAGCAACAGTAGATTTGTCAAATGTGTTAGAAAATGGTGTGCCACAAATATGAGCCGTGGGCCAAAGTCAGTAAAATGCTGGTTAATAGAAATTAATATCTTAAAAAATTCCTTAGAGCAGAAGTTTGGCTTCATGCTCCCTGCTAAGTTTTAGGAGCTATGAGTTCCTAATTTTAATACTGTGGCTTTTTTTTTTGCTGGTTTTTCCTTTTTCCTTCGTAGCTCACACATTTTTATTATCCCCAATCAGTGGAAATAATTCCAGTGGAAATAATCCTAGTTACTGCAGTGGATTACTTGGGACATTGAAATGCCACGTGGTGACTGCTGGAACTGGTTGGAAATGGGAAATATCTTGTGCAACATTTCTGACCAGTTCTAATTATTGCCATTAATTTATCATTGAAATTTTTTAAACAGAATTCCTCTGGAAGGTATGACCTACTCTTTGAAAGTGGTGGAAAATACTTATTTTTAATCACCTTCATCTCAAGAGCTGTAATTGAGGTTATGAAGTTGTAGTGGATTAACAGGTTAGTGATTTTTTTTTTTTTTTCCATATAGAGAAAAAATTCAGTGAGTTTCTCATAGAAACTTTACTAAGTGCTCAACCTTTGAACACAAATGCAAAATCAAACGTTTTAAGTTAGGGACGTAAGCCTCACATTAGAAATTAATCATGAGATGTTTTGGTGATAAAATCTCTCTCGTTTGAAAATGTAATTTATTAACCAGCTCAATATCTATTTCAGGGCATTATTCAAGCTCCAATAAAGATTTTCATAATATTTTAATAATGCGCCACTACTAAATCTCGTGTGAAAGGAAAGCGTGGTATTCTCTCGCCTTGCAAATCTCCTTTATTCTGTCCCCTCTGGTTGCAAAAGCAGAAAACCAAAGGACATGACCTCACCACGGCCACCTCTGCCAGTGAGGACAGGTGGGATGTGGATGGCCTGTGGCTTCCAAGACCCCAGGGTGCTCCCTGCTGGGTGCAGTGTGGCTCTGTGAGCTGCCGGGACCCCATCTCTTGCTCCTCCATCCTTTTCCTGCCTCCAGCCCTCCCTGTCCTGATTGGAGCTGCTGCTGGCTCGCGCTCACACATATGGCGGTGGAAACGAATACACATCGTGTGTTTGATCAAAATGGACTGAAACAGATGGAAGTCTTGGGATCGCACTGTGTTTTCTCTTTTTGTGCTTGATGAAGGGATAGTCAGTAAAATGCTAGCAAAGTATTACTTCTGGGGGAGAAGACTTGCCATTCCTCTTGCATTTTCATTGTTTTCTTTAAGTAGTAAAAAGAATTCAATACAGCTCTTAACATGCTGATTCTGGGAAGCCTCGTACAAAGCAAGTCTGGTACGGCGCTGGAACGGTGCTATTTTGCCTGAGCTGCAATTATTTTCATTTATGAAATTCCAAATTCTAAATTCTGTTTTAAATATTGAATATTTCTGGTGAAATGACAGCTTGTGCTAGCTTTAGGATATGCCTGCTTGGTAACTATTCATGAGGAGAACAGCTGAAAACAAACTAGTTATACACCTTGGCAAGTCACTGTGATTTTAATTCTGTGAAATTTCCCTATGGCCATGTGACTTTATTTAAAGTACTCTAACAGTGCAGATGTCCAGAATGCCAGAGTTGTTACAAATGTTATTCCTGTAAGTTTTGAATCATCCCTGCTTCAGGGAAAAAAAAAAAAAAAAGAGAAAAGGGAGGGGGCAGGGGAAGGAAGGAAGGAAAAAAGACTGATGATACCGTGTGTGTTTTGAGTGTTTGTCACATACTTGATTATGTGCTGCTATCGTACATTACTGGAACACAGATATATCATAAGTAATATATCTCAATGCATGTTCAGGACATATAATGGAATTTGCAGTACCTGGAAGAATGCATTACTGAAATACGCTAAATATTTTAAGATATCTTGTTTAAGCTATGATTCAAAAGGCAGCTTCAGCACTGACATTTTTGGAAGTTTAGAAGTCTGATAATTTCTGTGTAATATTGGATGAAGAATCGAAATACTTGTGCTAAAAATAAAACATTTCTCTGCTTTCCCCTTTTCTTCTCCTTCTCCATATGGCTCCTGAAACATTCCTTCATTTAAATAGGTTTTAAAGCTCTCTCCTTATAGTTCTTAAAGCATTCACTGCTCTTGAGACAAAAAACAAAAAAACAAAACAAAACAAAACAAAAAAGAAAAACAAAAAAACCCAACATTTTAGTATGTGCTATTTTTGTTATTCTAATTAGAAAAAAAAACAGCTGGTCCTGCACAGCTCTGAGTACAGTCTTTTTCAACACATTGTTCGGATTTTTTCCTCTTTTTCTGTCAAGCTACAGACTACCACCTCTTCTCATCCCACACAAGCCAGCCCCCCAAACACCTGCACACGCAGCCCTAAATATCACATCTGCCAGGGAACAAAAAGAAAATACTTCATTGGTCAAAGGACGCATACATCAAATTATTCATATTAGGAATATATATATGCACAGGTAAGTGGAAGTGACATCAGGCTGATGGCCAGCAGCTTCGCATTCCATTCAGAGGTATTTTTTAGTGTCTGTAGCATGCATTCTTTCTCATACAGATAAACCAACCTAACTGCTTTCATTTTTAAAGAAAGATAATCAGCCTTCACTTAGGGTTTTGATATCTGTAAACGTGTGTGCCTACAAATAATCATTGAAGCTGATCAAAGTCACACTCTCTGTTGCTATGGTAATGAATCCCCATTTTGTTTACGGATGGGTATGCGCCACATGACAAGAAATGATGTCAGGTGGAAAGCTGAGATAAATTAAATTTGTGGTCTGAAGTTATTAACATATGTTTTGTGTGAGTGTGTGCATGTATATTAACTAAGGAAGGGAAGATCCAGAAAATTCTGTTCTTTTGAAAATGACATGGAAATACAGTGCTGACAACATAAATCACGGCAGAGCGGACTCCAGTTAGAGGAAGGAGGTGCAGAGCCATGGGGCAGCGATGTTTCGGTGGCATGTCCAAACTGATGGAATAGCTCTTCAATGATCCTCCTCGTTATTTCTTTTCCTAGCCCATTGTTTCCTCTAGTCTGCAATTCCATTTGATGACTTTTGAAGCCATCCCTAACTTTATACTTGCGTTTTTTTCCGCGTGGAAAGTTGGAATTTATTTCTGTCTTCCAGTAAAATTTATTACATTTATTTACAAATAATTACACAAATGCTGTTAGTTGGGAAAGCAGAAAAAATTGTACAGTGGATATTAATTGCATTTCAAAACAAATGCTGCAAACACACTTTGAAGTTCTAAACATGCAGTTACGATGCAGATATGTGTATCTATTAGTCTACTGGTCTGTGCAGTATTTTCCCTGCCTCCAGAGTTCTCTCTGAGTTTCTGCATGACACTGGTCTTTAAGGACAGCAGAATCAAATCACACCGGTGGGTGCTGGGGGCAGTCAAAAACATGTAGTCAAAGCGGTCATTGAAGAAAATTTGTTTCTGTATGAAATCTGGATGTGACAGCCTGTTCCTTTTAAGATTTTTTTAAATATATATATGTGTATGCATGTACGTATGCTTTTGGAGAAAGTGATGGAATGCGTTTTCCTAAAAGAAAATGTACTAGCTATTTCACCAAGTGTGGATGAGAAGCTGTTTTTATCAACAGTAATTTTTTCTCCTTGGTCATGTATTTACATAGAAAGGATAAGAGAAATGCCTCAAGCAAGCTGAGATTTCAATTTCTCTGGCTTTCAATTCCACTCTTCCTAGTATCTGCCATGGTACCTGAATGAAATCCCACTAGTGCCAGTGGAGAAACTCCACAAGTTCAGCAAGTTTGGGATTATGGGCTGGCATGCATATAAAAAGATGCAGAAGCCAGCAATTGAAATCTGTAGTGTTTCTGATGCCTTAAGGGAAGGGGAATTCATACCAAATTAAGTAACTAGGGTGTCTAATAAATTTTCCTGTAGAATACGTTATATTAATCCTTTTTGAGAAGGCATGAGCTGTAAGGAGGCAACAGAAACCTGGAATTCACGGAATCACAGAATAATTGTAGGGGTTGGAATGGACCTCTAGAGTCCAAACCCCCTGCATAGCAGGCACCCTACAGCAGGTTTCACAGGTAGGCGTCCAGACAGGTCTTGAATATCTCCAGAGAAGGAGACTCCACAACCTCTCTGGGCAGCCTGTTGCATTGCTTTGTCACCCTCACCATGAAGAGGTTCTTTTGCATATTGGTGCGGAACTTCCTACGCTCCAGTTTACAGCCATTTCCCCCTGTCCTTTCCCCATAGACCACTTAAAAGAGGTTGGTCATGTCCCTTTGTCTCCCACTTTACTGTCCGTAGCATCTGAAGTGCAGAGTGTTTGGTATACTAGAGATGGGGAACTCCCAGTAAGCCCAGCCTACACTTTAGTATTTTGTGGAATTGCAGCATTGTTGTTCCTGATTTTCAGTTTTCCCTTATTGGGGCGTATCCCTGCATTGAAAGTAGACAAGAAATGCTGTCTAAAGGAAGTGATATGTAGCAGTTCTGTTACACCAAATATCTTTTTAAAAAAAAGAAAAACAACAACAACAAAAAAAGAGAATGCTGAAGATTGATTGATATTTTTGTACATTTAGATGTTATTATTTAATATAGGATCAACACTGAATTTGTTACTTTGAAGGCCGGAGACCATTTTTCTGTTTCTTCAGATATATAATAATCTCTCTAATTCACTGTGCCACGTGGTGGTGTACCACCTAGCAATAGGTGTGTAATTGAGGGCAGAATTTGACCCTTTGATTCTGTAAATCACATATGATCATTACAGAAGAGCTCAGATCTTTAGACGTCGTATGATTGCCAGCTCACCAGCCACCCTTCCTTTGTCACATTATTTTTTTTTTAAAGAGTCTGACACTCTAATGAAAGCAATACAAAAGGCTGCCAGAGCCCAGCTCAGAATGCCCAATTTGCTTTGACTGCCATTTTAGAGAGCAAAAGTGTGTTCCATTATTTGTATTGATATTAGGATGAACTTAGATCAGCAGATCTTCTGGACAGGGCCGTGCCTTTGCTTTTGTTTGAAGGATTGTGCGTGTTTGTGGGATCACGTAAATAATAAGTCAGTAGTAGGAAAATTAATGCATGACTGAAGGTGGGCTGATAGACTTTTGATGGCTCTGTGGAGCACCTAGTTTTAAGCATTACTTGATTTTCAGCCCATACACCTAAGCAATAAGATTTCAGAAGATTCTGTGTGTGTCTTTGCATTTTTCTCAGCTGTTATACACTTTTTTTTTTGTTTAATTTTTGGCTCAAGTTTCTAGAATAATCTATGGTACATCCAGTTGTTCTCATTACCTGATGTCTGCAGTAAGGAGAGAAAGTGTGCTTTTGGGCACGCTGTTTTGAAAATCTTGAATTTCTTTTCCTTCTGTCTTTCTCTGCCACAAACTTTTTCCTGTCCTCCTCATCTGTGCTACTTGGGGAGAATGAGAGCATTAAAGCAAGCTTGTCAAACGTTAACCTGATAAAGAAAAGCCTTGGAAATTCATTTTGTTCCCTGGAGAGAGGCTCTATTATTCTGAGATGCCCTCTGCTATGTCAAGAGCTAAAGATGCTTCATGAACCACACCCTGCAAAGATCCTCCCTTCGAAAGGCTTAGACCTGTTGAGCATCCTTTTCATCATTACAACACAGAGTGCATTGGAGCATCTCAGATTAATCATCTCTTCCCACAAGTAGGATTTCCTTTTGTTAAGACCTTAGGGAAGCTAAATTTTTCAAAATACACACTGGATGGGACTGAAGGATTTTTTTTTATTCCTTTGGAGCCCCATTCACAGAAGCAAACCTCCAAGTTTAAACTTAAAAAACCAGAGGCAGCAAGGGCTTCAATTCAGAGAAAGAAAGATGCATTGGCCCCAAGATTCTGTGAAGATCCTCCATTCTCCTGAATGCTGGAGAAATTTGTGAAACTCATTATCTTCTGGTCCAGCAACTTAAGGAAACCTCTCTCAGATTTAACTTTGGCACACATATTACTAAAATAAGATCTCTAAAAATGATCTTGTTAATCTTAGGTATAAAACAATGCCTTGATGCCTTAGAGGTTGTTTGCCTTCCTTCCTTCCTTCCTTCCTTCCTTCCTTCCTTCCTTCCTTCCTTCCTTCCTTCCTTCCTTCCTTCCTTCCTTCCTTCCTTCCTTCCTTCCTTCCTTCCTTCCTTCCTTCCTTCCTTCCTTCCTTCCTTCCTTCCTTCCTTCCTTCCTTCCTTCTTTCCTTCCTTCCTTCCTTCCTTCCTTCCTTCCTTCCTTCCTTCCTTCCTTCCTTCCTTCCTTCCTTCCTTCCTTCCTTCCTTCCTTCCTTCCTTCCTTCCTTCCTTCCTTCCTTCCTTCCTTCCTTCCTTCCTTCCTTCCTGCCTCCCTCCCTCACTCCCTTTCTCCCTTCCTAGCTTAATTTCCTGAGCAGGTATTACCAATGAGAGGCACAGATCTTGAGCCCGAAGAGAGTTCTTTTGTGATGTTACAATGAGAGCATTATTTCTGTGTGTGAAAAATACTTTTGCTGTTGTTATTAAATATAGAAAGAACTTTCTGACTCCAGATCACATTCTCAAAACAAAAGCTAACAACACGTCCCCCCCAAAAAATTACTTCATTTAATTCCAAGAATTAGGAAGTAGCATAAAGAATCATATATTGAGGTTTTGAAATGCACTCAGTTGTAGAAAATCAGATACGTGGAGCTTATAAAGAAGTTGGATGCACAAAGTAAATTCATGTATGCAGTACAAAGTTAGGCTTCCATATGATTTATTGGGTTCATTTGCTTCCCTTTTCTACTTTTATTCTGGATCTTTCTATTGTTTCTCCTTTCAAAAGGAATACAGTACAGCAGATTCATCAGAGGCCATTATTTACTGATTCTGTATATTGTTTTCATAATGGTTGAACTCAGCCATTCATGAACTGATTATTGAGTTTTAGCAAGTGGCTAATGAATCATTGATGCTGGCTCAGTGAGAAAGAGAGTCCTTATGTTCCTGCAATTCTGCAGGCTTCCTCCAGATTTCACAGCTAGTTTCATTCATTTCAATTATTTCTTCCCTGTCTTCCTCTCTTGGAATATTACCTTTAAAAAATACAAAACCGGTGACCTCTGAAATCATGTTGTGTGTTTTTCATCAGTTAGTCAGTGGCCATATGTGGGCTAAAAGTAAATTTAAGGAAGAATGAAGAGGGTTTTTAAATTTCATAAGGTCTCGGGCAAATGAGAAGCTTATCAAGAAACTTTGAGTCACCGTAATTCAGCTACATTAAAAAAAAAAAGTGGAGTTTCAAATGAAATGCTTTAAAAAGCAAGCAAAACAGAACTGTTTATTAATTTAGTGTAACCGATTATTTAATATAGAATAGTAATGAATTGCCATTAAAGATACTACATTACAATTGTAATGTAGCAGTATGGAAACTTTAATAGCGGCCTGTGAAAGAAAAGTTCTTTTCATTCTCAGTTTTCTCTTTCAGCTTTACAAAATGCCTGTCCCTACAGAATTGTTATGAGATAATAGACCTGAAAGATTTATTTCTGATAAAAGGTTTAAATTGGAATAGCAAAAAATAATAGCCCAATAACAAGAGTGAATAGACATTAAAATAAAGAGGAAAGAAAGAAAAAGACACAGACTGATTGCTTACCTGTCCACAAAAATGAAGCCATCATATTGCAACTTGGTAGCAGCTCTCTGTAGCCTATATGTTGAGATTCAGAAGGGGGATTGACTCACAGGGTTTATTCTCTGCTTTGCTATGCGTGTGAGCTCTGCAGGAACAGATTTTCCTGGAAGTCATTTCTATGTGGATTAAGACACACTTGTCACCTTCACCTTTCCTGGAGAAGAAAATTACATTCTTCATAATCTGCCAAATCTGGTTTGTTTTGATTTCCACTAAACTGTTATTATGAAGATAGTTTATAGTGAAGTTGAATAACGTTGTGAAATAAGAAATTCCAGAAGTATATGTCAGAGATCACTGACAGGTTTCGAGGTCTTGTTCATAGTCATTTCTGATTTGAAATGAGACTTCTGTGGTCATTGGCACCATTCTTATGGCAATGGAACAATGCTTTTGGTATTTAATTGAGGCAGTAGCCTATCCTTTACCTTGTGAGGGCATTTAGTCAGAAGACAGAGGCTGGATATTTCTTTTACAGAATTGCTTAAACATTTTCTTATTTTCTTTCTTTTTTTTTTTTCTTTAAAAAAAAAAAAAAAAAAACAAAAACAACACAGAGAATCTAAATTTTTGGTAGAAAATGAATATGGTTAAGTTGGTATTATTCATTATGTTGCCACAAGGGCTGCATGTAGTGGTAGATCATATACTGAAGATTTCACATAGGCTTCCTTTCCTCATGTGGTTCCCTTAAATATTCAGATGTGTGATCTTACTCTGTCTCTGTTTTCTTTTTCTGTTTTCTTTTTTTTTTTTGTTTTTTTTTTTTTTTTTTTTTTTAATTATTATTATTATTATTATTATTATTTTCTGTGGTGGTTTTTTTTTTCCCCTTTTTCCCTTTTCCTTTTTTTTTTTTTTCCCCTTGCTCTCATTCCTTTCATTCCTTTCCCTTTTCCTCTTCTCTTTTTTTTTTTTTTTTTGCTTTCCTAAGCAGAGGAGGGCAATCTTATCATGGGAGGCAGCTCTAAAGAGCAGATGACGAACCAGAACTGCTATTATCCATAACAAAAACAAGCAAACAACCAACAAAAAACAAAACAAAACAAAAACAAAACAAAACAAAAAACTCTGCAAAAAAAATTAACATGAAAATCAGACCGAAGTGCTTGATTTCGATAATGCTTTTCTTTCTATCTTGCTTTGTTCATCATAAACATTAACTTATCAAGTTAAAAACCCAATTTTCTACAAGGACAATATTTTTCTGCTGAAACTTTTGAAGCAGCTCTTACATATCATTAATAAACATGTAGCTTGTAGTTCTGCTCGTGGCTTAACATCAGAACCTTTCTGATCTTTGTGAGAAGAGAAGGTTGCCAGGGACTGGTGGAAGGAAATGTTCTTCCCCTTGCAGCTCTGTTGTCTAAAAGCAGAGAGCATCTGTACCATCTTAAACCCCATGCAGCAGAAGAAGGAGGAAGGAACAAAAAAATATTTCAAAATATGAAGTGATCCTACTTCAGTGTAATAGAAAGTCACAGGACCCCACAAGTAGGCTGAAATGTTTCCTTTCCAGATTTTTTACTCTTTGTATTTCTGCTCTCAGAAATATTCTGCCATGGACAGGATGGAAGTGCAGTTAATGAGATCTGACTGGAATTTTCATGAGGAGTATCTTTGTCAGATTTGTTCCAAAATAGCAGGAAAATATATTCTTTATGCTCAAATGAATGAATAGAAACCCATTTTAAAAATTAGGGAGTAAATAAATATTATGAAGTGTTAAAAATCATTCTTTTAAGCGTAATAGAATAAGTGAAATTTGTGATGCACACATATTCTCCAGGACAGACCTGGAAAACTTCTGGGATCTTTACTGTCAGAGCTGGTGGAGTTGCAGAACACCTGGATGTTTTCTCAGGTGTGTTTAATGCTGCCGAGGAGTTAAGCTGACTGGTTTGAAAGATTACTTTTAAGATAAGGTTTGTAGTTTTTATTTTGGAATAACGAGACGGAAAAGAAAATGAGCAAAGTGGTATCCCAGCATATTGCACCGCAGACTCAGGGAGAGCATTGTGTTCCCACCCCTCGCAGACCACAGGAGCAGACCTCATATAACAAAACAACTGAAGTCCCCCCGAAGTCCGATGGAGGCCGTTGAATGGAAGCAGAGTAGGGGCAGCGCTGCGAGCCTGCGGGGCCGATCTGCGGGCGCTGCACATCACACAGCAGTGCTTCGGTGGGGCTGCAGGCAGCAGCCGGGTCTGCCCGCATGCCGCTGCTGCGGAGAGGAGTTAGCTCTCTAGCAGGCTGGCTGCAGCTCTCCAACAAATAAAAGCACCTCGTTGCAGGTATTGAATGCACGCTGTTCCGAGCGTGCTTCCCTTCAGAACTCTTCCTAGGAGCGTGTTGAACTGGGTAAACAAGGGAGATGGGCTGTCTGCTGATTTTGTGTTCGTTGAGTTTCTCTTCTCTTGTCAAGGCTTCGGGGAAGGAATGACAATGCAAATATGCTGCAGTCTTTCACGCCAATATTCATTTCTTTCTACTTCTGTCCAGACGGGTCGGTGTACCCAGAGAGGCAAGCTATTAATATTGCCTTTTTACAGCTAAATTATCTGACTCCAGGATTGTTCACAGATTCTATTAGAGACCCCTATGGAGGATTGCTTCTACAAATAGGCATTTTAATTCATCCGGGTACACTAAGGTGTTACCTTCCTTTCATTAATAAAACGGAAACTCATAAAGAAAACCAGATTATCCTGAATTTATGATCAAGTAATTTTGTTTCTCTTAGCTCTGGTAATAATTGTGGAACATTATTTCCCCGTTTCTTTTCCTTACTCCTTTGTACACATAGACAATCTTAATTTCTCATGTTTATTTATCCTTTTTTTTTTTTTTTTTTTTTTTTTTTTTTCATTTTAATTTGACAGGGAAAGCTATCTAGGACCCCAGGAGGCAAACGCTAAGACTGAAGAATTGGTTCTTCCATCTCTGCTTTAATAAAATAATAAGTAATTGGTTCATATTTACCAATCCTTTACAATTTCTAAGTTATTCTTTTTGTGTTTTATCTTAAAATTTCTTAGAAAGGCAGGTTTAATACATTTGTATTTTTATGGCAATTTGTAATCCACACTATGAAGTGATTAATGGCTCTTTCATCTTGATTTTAAGTACTGAACTTTTTACCAGCATTTTACTAATTTTTCCATGAAATTAAGCTTTTCTTTCTTTTTTTTAAACCATTATTTTAATATTCCCTTCCCAATTACTCAATGTTAATGTTGTTAACAGACTGACTAGATGTTAGGTCTTCAATAGGGATAAATCACCACAACTTTACTGATTCTGACCTCTTAATGCCGCTTGACATCAATGGCAAGCCTGCCTCTTTATTGACAGATGCTGTTTTGGGGGGAAAAACCCCAAATTCAGTTCTTCGGAAGGCAGATCATGCAATGGATCACTTCTCAGCTGCAGAGCACTTCTGGAGCACCTCTGCAGATACCACTTCAGTTGAACAGCTACTTCATGGACTTCAAATGAAGTGTGCATAGCTAAATGATCTCTGTAGGTGCCTTGGCTAAACTTCTGGTAGGAGCCTGCACTTCTGAGATCTCTTAAGAGGCACCTACAGAAATCATCCAGTGCACTTTCTGGCTGGCAAGGTATTTGTGATCCTAGTGTGTTCAGCATAGTAACATACCACAACAGTAAAATTTGGAAGCACTCAGAATACCAGAAACATTTTCAATATATTCATTCATATGGCCTTTTCATTCGGTAGATACTGTTCTCCCTTAAAGAAATGAGATTTTAAAATAAACTTGAAAAGAAGTCACCACTTTAAAAGCTAAATGATTTCACCGTATTTTAATAATGGTCTGCAGAAATGACAAAGAAAGTGAGAGGGATGCATTTCTATCCCTCGCACAGAATGATAATCTTCCCCAAACTACAGTTCTTATTCTTCTGAATTTTCTTGTTAGTATCCCTACTTCCCTACACTATCATCATTTCCCTCTTCAAACATTTTTACATGGTCCCTGGGTGCGTATTTCATCTTTTCTAATGATGTCCTCATCATTTTCTGAGAATCATTGGTGTCCACCGAGGCTGCATCCGCAGCATTTTTTGGGTACTAGTTTAGAGGAAAGTTCTTTCCAAATTTGTAACAGTCATATTGTGCATAGAAGTGAGACCTAATGGCCATCGGCTCTAAAGCACATATGTTGGTCAATGCATATTTCAGTAACAGTGTGAGAACTCATACTTCTTATCATACATTCTTATATCCATAAGCTATTACTGAGTTAAAAATGAATTTTCGTTATTTCAAAAATCATTTCCTTTAATGGGCAATGTTGATTATTTTTGATAATCTGGTAGCTGAAAAGTAGTTTACGAAGATGGCCTAATCTCTCTTAATGTCTCTGCTGGTATCATGGACATTTTACTTCTCTTTCTAAATGAAATCTTTCTTGCTTACACAATCTTAACCTGCTCAAGCATTGAAAGCCAATAAAGTACAGAATCTGTTAATTTAGAGTTGCTGAAGTTGCTGAACAGAAATATTTTCAATTTGATATTACTTTCACGATAAAGGAAGCAATAGCATGAAGATCCAGACAATGCATTCCTGGAATGTGTACTGAAGATTTTATTTTTTTGTTTCTCCAGTGTGTGAAATTTTGGGAGAAAATTAAGATTGCATTTCAGTTATATTTTCTCAAGAACAAACATAAAAGCATTTAGGAAAAGATCCCTCTGCCTGTGACAGACCACATGACCAACACTTCCAAATGAAATCTCACTTAATGGGGAATTAGAGTAGGTACAGTAGTACCTAAATGTCATTTATCTGTCACATATCTAAATTATGATGTGTGTGTTTGTGTGTATTTATTTATTTATTTGCTATATATATATCAATCAAATATATATTATCAGTGTCCTTTTGCAAGGCAGGTCAATATATTTCCTCTGTTTTATGGTCAGGATAGTTAAAGTACACTGATGGAAAACTGAGTGAGAGAATCCTCCATAGTAAACCTGACATAGCATCAGCATCTTCAGTCTCATCTCAATCCAAAAGGATTTTTATTTCCAGAAAGGAAATAAAATAATACAAATTTTGATTTGATTCATCTTACACCAGTGGGCTTGGTTTATGCTAGCTGTCTTCTACAATTAAATATTTTACTCTAAGCATATGATATATGATGATAACCTATACATTTGGCTCAGTAAACGTAACAAAAATTGAACTCTTAGAGGCAATTATAAATCACAAGACAGTTCTGAGAAATTTCTTTTTAAATACTATTGCTTTTGGATTGCATTAAGTTCTGAAAAAAAAGAAAATTGTCTGAAAAGAATTAATTGTACCAAATGCAAGGAAAGGATTCTATTAAATTTCCTGTTGTGATCTTCATTTTAAAG